CGCCTCTATTTTTAAACCTAACGAAGTTGCTGGGACTGATATTAGCCACCTTAATAAATTTGTGGTAAGCACAAAACGATCGTCGATCGATGAGAATCTGTTGATCTACCGTTTAGAAGTTTTTGGTTAACACAAAGGACGAGTTTCTGTCCAAGTGAGATTCATCGATTTTGGATCAAACCCACGATCTAACCTAACCTAACAAGCAAATAAACATTTCCATGTGAACCGTGCGTTTGGAGAACGGTGTAGGAATGGCGACACCCACTAGTGCTACCACTGACAGCTTATTAAGCGCTGCCAGCTACGCCCGAATTGGCGGAAATCTGAGGGCAAGCCCAAAGCAACATCTGCAGTTGCTCAAAAATAGCTACAACAACAATATAAGCCAACATGCTAATGACAATATGCTTTATGATGTTGTCAACGTTACCACGCAAAAGCAAAGCAACACAAACAAAAGAATACTAAATACACAGAATTAGCAGCGCATTGCATTGAAAGTGGCACAATTCCCACCGAAAAGCAACAGTTTGGCGGCAACGATGCTTTGGTGTGATTATTAAAAGGCACTTTGTTGTTATTGCCGCTGCCATTTCAGCAGACAATGCTAATTTGCGGGCGCTACAAACGCTACAGTCGGAGCGGCCAGCATCACTGGTGCCACAAGAAAAAATGGAAGTAAACAAAAACAAAGATAATAGCGCTCGTTCATAGCTAGAAAATATGGCAAACGCTTTTGATTTATTCGCAATTGTTTTAGTAATTCATTTTTATGTAGCTGACTTGCTACTGCCGTTGTTGTTGTTGGCGCTTGTTTGTACACGAAGCATTCGGAAAATTCTCAGCATTCACACATGCAGACCAACAACAGCGCTAGAAAAGACTGTGACAAAAATGCATGCAAAGCTGGGGGAGGGAAATGGTGGCAAACAAAACTAGTAAGCCAGTTGTGTAACACTAAAAGCAAAGCACAAAAATAAAAGTTTAAAAATAAAATACTTAGCGCTTTCGACCTGTGCTTGAGCTGCGGAAACACCCTCTGCAACAGCGAAACCAGTTCAGCGCCGACCGCGGCTTACATTCAAAGTTCGATTCCGTGTTGCAGATAGTTTTCTTCATTGTTACATACAAGCGCGTTTACTTTTTTCTTGTGCCTTAGAATAATTAGTCACCTCGAGTTCGACTTCTATTCTGGTTTTGCGGGCAAATATTTACATAAGCTGCATATAATACACCGCTATGCATAATGTGTGCAGTAGCTGTATTGCAACATTGCACTTTCCGTGCAACGAGAGTTTCAAGGTGGTTGCGTTTCGGGGCGCGCACTTTTCGGTTGACACACTTGTGGTTGGTGAACACGGCTGCTTAGCCGAACGACCGCGCGTCCAACAGCGACCGGTTGCTGGCGCGAATGTCAAAAGGCAAAACAAAATCTAAATTTAGATTTTCATTCACTCAAGCTCCTTTTGGTCTACAAGTGCGAATATATATGTATATGTTGTAGGTGTGTATGTGTGTGTGCCGGTTCATTCTTTCGATTGTTCATTCATGTTTGGATGTCGTGTGGCTTTTCGTGGTATTGAGAAATCAATCTTGGGTTCAAAACGTGCAAATCAGTTACAATAGATCAAGGCGCACATACATACATACATATGTTTAATGGCGTGTAATATTAGGGAGAACTTCGCGATCGAAGTGGATTTTAAAGCTTAAATAAGTTGTGTTATAAAGTTGATACAACGAAATGCTATTTATTGTAAAACAATGACTTAGTGACATTTAAAATTAATTTCAATAGCAAGCATATAGATTTTGAGATTTTAGAGCACCAAAAAAATTAGAAGAGTACTATTTGTGTGAGGTTAAAGAGTTGTAGATTGAAAAAAGTGACTCTACCTATGAAATAGAGCGATTGAATATTAAATTATTGGCATATTTCGAAACCTCTAAAGATTTGCACGAGCTTAAGATAAGCTGCAAGATAAGTACACGCGTACTTGGTCAACATAAGGTTAGCTATACTGCGGAAGAAAGTTTATAAAACTGTATTCAGATTATGAATACCGATTTATCATATACGAAAAATTATAAAGCGTGAAAATTCCAAAAAATTTTAAATAATTTTTTTTTGTTTTTGTTATTTCAGTACATTAAAAAAACCAGATTATAATTTTAAATGAATTTTTTAAATATTGTATGAGTTACAGTCTTCTAAAATCTTGCCGCTCAGTGCAACTACTTGAAGTTCAACTCTGTCAGTTTATATTTAAACGCGTTTTCCTCAAAATTAGATTTTTCAAATTGGCGACAGTTGTAACTTAAAACAAATCATCTTAATGCCTTAATTTTTTCCACTAATATGTATAAAATTCTCCGCACAATGACTTTTCAGTTTTTCGTATGTATAAAAAATGTAATTTCGGTGGGAAAAAATCATATCAAAAATCATCTCATTATTGATAAAATTTTAAATTTTTTTAAAGTCTGCGATTTTGTCAAATTTTTATTTTTTTTAACGATCGAAGTTCATTGTATGATAGTAGTTCATATATGTTCATTTTAATTTTTTTTGTTTTCAAGCACGTATATATATTTACATACACATGTTTGTATATATTGTATTACTCCGTACAATGATTTTTCCGTTTTTCGTTTGTGTGAAAAATGTTTTTTAGCGGGAAAAAAATCAAATATTGAGCAAAATTTAAAATTTTTTCCAAAGTCTGCCATTTTGTTAAATTTTAATTTTTTTTATCGATCAAAGGTCCCTATATAGGCAATAGTTTACATATTTTTTTATTATTTTGTTTTTATTTTGTTTTCAACTATGGTAAAAGCCGCAATAATTGCAGCAAATTAGGAGCCTTATTTAGTAACTTGGGCTTCGCTAAAAACTAAATTTTATTTTACTGAAATTCTGTGCATTTCTTTACACTATGTGCTTAAATATACTCACAAAGATTTAAAACATTTTATGCAGTAGTTTTCACTTAAAAAAATTCCAAAATTCACCTTTCTTTAGGCGATCACACTAGGTGTGTGCTTTAATACAAGTATAAATAAAGTATTTACATAAAAGAAAAGTTAATATTTAAATAAAATAAGTAACTAAGCATCTGTTAAGGTTATTGATTGATAATTAGCGCTATAAAACCTATTATTTTTTAAAATTTTTTCTATTATTGAATTTTCAAAAGTTTGCAAAGTCAAGGTCAAATTTTATATAATTTTGAGTTATATAGTCGATTTCTCATTGAGCTTGAGCTCTTGGCAAATGAAACAACAATACGGGTATTTCTCTTGACGGCAGCGCAGATTTGCAATGTTTGCTTGACAATAGGCTAGTTTAGCATAAACATTGTAATGCAAATTTTCATAAAAAGACAACAGGTTGCTGATTAAAATATTAAAGTTCGCAAAATAACAGACTTATTTCTCAATAAGAGAATATTGTAGAACAAACAAAATGTAATTTGAAGTAGGAAGTGTTTTTATATAAAAGAAATTTGGTAGCAAAAAAAAAAAAATAATAATAATGATAATAAAGTAAAATAGAATTTTATTTTATTATTAAACATTTTTTTTAAATATTGTAAGCCACTGAACGTTTTCATGGATTAAAATAAATATTGCCTTACTTGTATCTAAAGCCACTACCCGGTAACGGTGACATTTGTAACACTTATATTGAAAACTTTTAGTTTAAAACAAAAACATTTTCTACAATTTTTTTATAATTATTTTATTAAAAAAATGAATATCCATGCAGTCATATAAATAAAAAAGAATTAATTAAGAACTAACTAATATAATATAATATATAGTCCAGCTTGTTGGCGACTAAAAAACCCACAGTAACTCCCACTTGCCATACAATTATAAAACCAATAACATTTAATATATTCCTTATGCAAAAACTTTTGTAAATAAACTGAATATAATGCTTTTTGCATAACAAACAACAAATAAAAATGTATTAAAAGGCAAAAAGCAAAAGGCTGCTTTAGAAACATATGGCAATTTGAAAGTGCAACATGACCCGTTGGCATAACCGATCCGCCATTCGTCACGTCGGCGGTCTAAATTTGTCCACAACAAGTTAATAATTTTTGTTGGTGGTTTTTAATGCGCACACATGTGATTTCTGCGCTTAATTCGTGCAATTCTAAAACTCAGCTCAAATTTAAGCGTGAAATAAAATAAAAAGGCGTAGAACTGCAAAAAACAAAATATATACTAAAAATACAACAAATCTTCGCTAACCGAATATGCACACAATTAATTGTATCAGATTCCAAAACCAATAACAACGGCAACAACGCGCGCCTACCATTGTAGGCTTCGTTTGATATATGAGAAGAAGTTGCGGTCTTAAGTGTTTTGTTTGCAATCACAATCATCAAAATTGAAAGGCAAATTTGTGCATCACAAGGGTGCAGATATATTTCTGAGAACAATCAACTGTTGATGTCATTGTATTTCTGTTGCAAAGCGAGTTATGAAAATGCATATTGACACTTTACATGCTGAATCTCACGAGAAATTTGCATAATCAAATAACGCTAGAGGCTAATGACATTTGTTGTTAATAGAGCAAGTAATTTTTAATAAATGTAGTTGGTGTTTGTTGTTGTAAAACGCTTACCTTCCTTTGTGTTGCAAGATGCTGAACTTGAACTTGGTGGCCGACCACTCCTATTTGCATCACAAACGGTGAGTAAGTAAGTAGTGTTAATAGTTTCCAAACAAAAAAATTTTTCTAAGAATAACTGCAACCTTTAATTGACGCTTTTGTGCGTAGTGAGCTACGATTACATGAACAACATGCAACAATGAAGCTGAACCCAAAAAAATTGCCGAAATAATAGAAAACTTGTAGTTCATGAAAACCACAATGCTCTATAATAAAAACCTTTATTAAAAAAAAAATAAATAAAATAAAAATTAAAAAAAATATATTAATAAAAAGAAAAATCAAAAACAAAAGCCACGAAATATTTTTCTAATCAAGCACAGCTTTTAACAGTGTGCATTCAAGCATTGTCTTTTATTTTCGGTCAACCAATGCAACTCTGCTGGGCAGCAATTTACACAAAAGAAATAAAATTTTTTTTTTTTGGCTAAAAAACAAAAGAAATGTAGACAATGGGTGCGTTGAAGGGAACAACAACATGCACGACCTTGACCTTCAACTTTCCCGCTGCCGCTTCTTCAGCCGCATTACAAGCCACTTTTTTTTCTTAATAAGCGCTAACTGTTGACTGTACGCACTCTTACTGCCATCTGCAATGCCACGCTGTGAGCGCTTCACCTTCGCACGGCTCTCGTGCTGCCGGGGTGTGTAATATTAATGACTATAAAATGTAATTGCAAGTACTTTATTTATATCACGAAAATATACTTTTTTAATGTACCTTGAATGCGCGTTAGTTAAATTGAATGGTTAATTGTAATTGCTTGAAGGTCATCTAAGTAAAACAGTTATATTAAATAATCGAAACAATTTTTCTTATAAGTTTAAATCGTGGTGTGATCCGAATTTTAGCTTTTATGTATTAATAAAATATAAAATTTGACTATTAGATATTGACTTAAAAAATCCGCACTACAAGTAACATACCATAATAAGTTTTTTGGAAGTGTATTTCTGTTAACTCAATTCAACGACAATTATTATCACGAGATGAGCATTTTTGAAATGTTTGATAAAACCGAATTTTATAGCACTGAAAATCCTACAGAATCTACTCTAAGATCAACTCAATAGGTTATACGAGCAGACTACTTTAAACTAATATGAAACCCGACTTGTCAGCCGACTACTGATTTTCCATGCATAAAACTTGTGTTTTTTATGCTTTTATGACCTATGAGATGTTAAGTTATATATATTTGACAGAACTCATACCAAAAATCATACCAAAAAAATAACTCATGTGAAGATTGTTCTAACATAACAGTTTACAGTTATATGTGGATGTATATACTCTTCAAAGTAATATTGTCTTTTGTTCTTATACCCTGAACAGGGTATATTAAGTTTACTACAAAGTTTGTAAAATCCATTAGCGATCAGCGTGACGAGTTGAGTCGCTCGTTTGGCAGAACCAACGATACCAGATCACTATAGCTTATTGTTGCTGTACAAACTGACCTATCAAAATAGAGATTAAGACTTTTGCAAAAGATGTTTTTTCCTACTGAAGTAACCTTAACTTTTTTGAAAATCTGTAGTCCAAGCTACGAGAAAATTTGTTCCAAAAGACAACGTAGTGTAAATGGAATTAATATTTACTAGCAGATCACTCCATTTGGCATCCCATTTGGGAGAAGAGGACCTTATATAGACGATGAGATGTGAACATCGAACTTTTTATATTATTTATTTCGCACACGACCGCTTCTTAGGGAGCCAATTGGACGTGTGAGTCGCACTGCACTTTATTTCATGACATTGACTCATCTTCCTTATCCCAATGACATGTAGGCGTCATATACAACATATTATGTTGCAGCTTAGCCAAGCGGGTAGTCGCTCACCACGCTACTGATAACTGATTAGTAGAGATATTTAACTTTTTTGAAAATATAAAGTAGCATATCTTCACCGGAGAGAGTGTAGCTTCCCAATGGTGAAATAATTTTTGAAATCCGTCAAGTAGTTCCAGAGCCTATTCAATTCAAAAAATCAAATCTTTCATTTATAATATTAGCATAGATTAACATCTTCTCTCTATAACTCCTGTTATTCAACGACTAATAACTTAATCCAATATATTTTCGATTGTTACATGTGAAATATTTTCCATATGAGCGCAGTGCCTTTCACTAACCATTGCGTTGTTGTATTCAACTGCGCCACCAGGACGCCAAACACAAATGTCTAAAATAAATGCGCGCCAAGAAATTATGTAGATTACGGTTCCTCCATATGTAATTTCCATATACACATTGCATCACATGTCTGCGGCTGCAAAGAAAACTCACACACGTCACTCCGCCACTCGCACGAAAGGAAAGCCACTTTTTACTGTAAGCCACAACGCGCGGGTGGCAAGTCGGGCATCATTAAAATTTGTCTGCGCTGTTGATTATGGCCATATTAAAGTATAGCAAGAGGCTGAATCAGTGCAGCAAATCTGGAAAAACAACAACACGAAAATGCAAAATCGCAGACAATGACAATAAATTGTTGCAACAATATCAGTGATTTGTCTCGCTAGTAGGTGCAAGATGGAGGCTGGAAAACTCGCATGCGAATTTGGGCTGCATGTATGCGCGAATCCATACACTCCCACACACTTGCAGATTGGTAACACTTGCGATATTATACAATAAAGCTTATGCCATAATTGCTGAAAAAATTGCTGATCACAACTGCAGAAATTGGAATAAGTGGCGGAGAATATGGACAAATATGTTAGTTGAGGGAGGAAAAAACTCAAACTGAAAAGTGTTGCTTTAAATGGCGCATTACCAGCTAATTTGACAACAACAACAATTGCGGCAAATAATTCTACTGCCTTTGCAATAACGGTTATTAAGCAAATGCAATAACAAAGCGCATATTACAACAACTCTCAATCGTTTTAAAGCTGGTTTCTATAAAATCGAACAAGAAATATCGAAGGTTTTTCAACTTTGACTCACTGCCTCACTTATTATGCAGTTATTTATAAAAAAATAAACAACAAAAAACAAAATTGGCAACAAAATTGGGCGTACTGACGGCAGTTCAAAAGTGCAGTCACGTTTCGTGTCCGCAAATTTTAATGAGCCAAAGTAGCGGCGATAAAGTGCCGGGGGTAGGAAATAAAAAAAAACTTAAGGATAAATTTGGGAAAATATTTAAAGGAAAATACATGAACGAGAGTTTGGAGAATTTTTATTTTAGAACGAGATATCATTGCGTGGCAAAAAGATCAAAAAATTAATAAATATAAGTATAGGATGAATAATCACCATGTAATCTACATAAATATAAAACATAGATGCTCCACAGTTAGAAAGACCAATTGTCTAATATATTGATAAAATAATGGAAACCGTTGAGTCCGACCGTCCGGTAAGCACTGCTTCGATTGTCTAGTAGCTAAACACTGCAAAAAAACCAGTTAAGAACCATATAAATAAAGCTCGATACAAAAAGAGGCTCGATGTTTGGGTGCCACACCAGTTAATAAAAATCGGTCACGAACTGATTTCCAATCGACTCATTCCTAAAGCGGATGGTTGTTGGTGATTAAAAGTCAGTCACTTCCGACAACGCCAAACGAAAACGGTCGTGGTCGAATCGGGCCGAGCGGGCGCAAAACGTAGCTAAGCCAGGTTTCATGGACAGGAAGGTTTTGCTATGTGTTTGGTGAGACTTGCAGGGAATAAGCTACTATGAGCTGTTCCCACACGACCGAACTTATAATTCGGACCTGCCCTGTCAACAATTGGACCGTTTAAAGTACAGAAGTGGCCAGCTTTGTTCCATCGGGACAAAGTCAGGTCACACACAGCGATAGTGACACGCCAGAAGCTGAAGTAGATTGATTGAAAGGCTCCTAATCATCCATCTTAAAATCCGCGCCTGTCACCAAAGGACTACTACATACCTATCTCTGTTTATGGTGAATGATTTTGCTGGTGAGTAATTCGCCTCGTGAGAAGGCAATAAGTTGTCAAGAAATCATTTACCGTTTTGATCTAAATCGGATCATTCTAACAAATCTAAATAGAACCTTCAATTTAATGAAAAAGTAATGTATGTTTTTAGCAGATTTTATAATTTCAGTGGGCATCTTTTGTTGATATCGAAGCTTTAAAGAACTCTGCATATTTTCCTTACTTGAAAAACGCAGCAAAAAACAATTTTTTTTTTAAGTACAGCGGTTAAAAAACTGTTGCCAATAATTTATTGCTGCTAACACGAAACTAAAGTGACAGCAATAAATTAAGGTTTATGTGTCAATTAAAAACAAAAATGCCATTATGCACTAAGTTTGAAGAACAATAAAATATGTGGCTTGGTATTTTAATTTGCAAAGCCGCTGTGTTGCTGTTAAGCAAAATGCCGTTATGGCCTTTAGTAGGAAGCAATAGCTTAACTGCATAAGCGTATATACTAAAAGTTAGGCTGTCAGAGGCTTCCAGCTGCAGCAATTCGTTATAAACCCACCAGCTGTTAATCCAAAACTCGCACTTTGGCAGCAAATTCAAATACAGTTAGCATAACAGTAGCGGTGGTGGCGGTAACAGCTCAATAAATAATATGGCTGACAGGAATTCGCAATATTTTAATTTCCCATTAAACGTTTTTTGATCGAAATCAATTGCTGCTGTTGCAATTTGTTCTTTTATTGTTTATTGTCTATGTGCTATAATATTTCACACTGCTGTCGTGCGGAACAAGAATTAAAAAGCACTAAAAAGTGTAACTGAGTGGTGGGAAATATTTATAGTTCACTCTTATGCCCAAATGTTAAGCATTTCCTGTAGTATGCTTTTATATTAGTGCGTACTGCACCTACTAACTTTAACTTTAGTTCAATAATTAACAGTTACTTCTGTATATACGCGAACTAGTCCTTCAGTGTTTCAGATATCGATCGGAAATTTTGCACACGTCCCTCTTCCACTAAGAAGCTGCTCATTTATCGAAATCGCCGATATCGTACCACTATAGTGTATAGCTGCCATACAAACTGAACAATCGCAATAAAATTTTTGTATGGAAAACTTTTTTATTTGACATGATATCCTCACGAAATTCGGGACAGATTATTCTTCAAGACAACGCTACAATTTCCGAACATATTCTTCAGATCTGATTATTATAACATATATCTGCCATAAAAACTGTCCGACTAAAACTAACAAAAAAAATATTTATACCTTTTTATGCTATAAGAAGAGCGCCTGTGTAGGGTATAGTGTAGTCGTCGATTTTTTGTGTTTTCTATGTGGATTAGCTCACTGCTGTAGGCTTATTTCTGAATAGCCAATACTATATTTTCACAGTTGCAAGGAAGTCCGAAAAGAAGTAATGTCTTATACCTATGTACGCCTTCAAGCTCTGATTAAAATATCAAATGTGCCTCCACTTTTTCCAATAATAAAGTGATTAACTCGCTTCTTAGCTGAAATGCGCTTTCAAAATCCATCATGCGTAAATGTTATTTATTGCATGCATATATTTATGTGCACATTTTACTGTCTGTATATATGTCTGTATGTGTATGTGCGCGTGTGTCTGTGCGCTTGCATAATGCTCGTCAAGTACGTATACAATAAGAAATGTTGCAATAAATTCCAAAGAATTTTCATATCTCAATTTGATTCATACCAACTCTATATGTGTGAGTATGCGTGTGTGTGTGTGTTGAGTTTCACTGGACGATTGCAAAATTTTCGGAATTTAGTTACAAGGAAAAACCGAAATAATAAACAATAGCACATTTTTATAGCGCAGAAATATGCGTTGAAAACAAAAATCAAAAACAACAACAACAACAAAAAAAAAACATAGAAATAAATAGCAATAAAACTAGCAAAACACAGGCCGCCAAGAAAATAGCTCATGAAGTAATTGTCGTGCATGCCCCTCCGAGCGG